TAGGGTGGTAGGGAAGTAGGGTGGTAGGGAAGTAGGGTGGTAGGGAAGTAGGGTGGTAGGGAAGTAGGGTGGTAGGGGAAAGTAGGGTAGTGGAGAGACTGAGCCCTTAGGGACCACACAGCTGCTCAAATACATCAGCCTGGTCATGTCCTTTTCTCTGGGATACCATATAGGGCAGCAAAACATTTTCATAAAAATTTACTAACAAAATGTTGGCTCAGCTATATCAATAGTGTTATTATTATCCAGTCTGTATCTTTGTCTGGCTAAATAAAGTTACAATATCAATATAGATGGATCTCCTCCTCTGTGGAGCAATTAATGGTTTGTAGTGGTGTTTGCTGATCATATTGTGGTGGAGAGCTGAAGGATTTCTAAACAATGATTGATCAAGGCACAATATTGAGAACAATATTGCTCACAGATGCATGTTTGCAGGTGTAGGCATCGTGCTGATCACAGTGTCTGGAGTGGCGTGGCACCTAACCTCCAGGGACGCACCATGTCGAGTCATGCTGGGTCTGGCCCCCCATGACCCAGCCCGTGGGGAGCCTCGACGCTTTATGGCTCGTATGGCACCAGCCTTCGGTCGACCACATCATCCCTATGCTGGTAAGTGTATCTCGTCAGCATTTGCAACCTCTTGTTCACTATCTACACTCAACAGCATTTTCGCGCATGGTAAAAGGGAAGAGTTGTGGTTGTGGCAGCTGAGTGGACAGCATTTGCCTCTTGTCCATGGGGTTGCTGGTCAGTGCTCAGCGAATTCCCAAGCCACAGTTCTTCCTTCTGTACCGAAAAAATAATTTCTTCTACATTGTATGTAATATAATTTGTCTTCCCACTTACAAAATAATATATTTCTTCTTGCCTTCCCAACCCCTTTATCTATTTCACCTATCTTCCTCCCAAACAACCCTTCTCTCTCTTTCACCTTTCCTCTTTTCCCACCCTCTATTACAATCTTCCTGCCCCTCCCCCACATCATCACACTTCCCACCACTTCTGTCACTCTTCATCCCCATCTCATTCACTCTCCATATCACTTTCATCACTATTCCTCACATACCCATCCTCTGTATCACTGGTCTTTTCTTCTTCCCTCTTCCCATTATCTCTATACAATACCTCCTTTCTCTCTCCACTCCTCCCTTCCCCACTCCTGCCTCATCCCTCTGTTCTTTTATCCCATTTTAACCCCAACTAATTTGCTTTTTCCATTCCTATTTTCGTTCCTACCCCAACCATGTATTAATAAAAACCGTGTTTCAGCAATGATGTACCCAGAGTTCCAGTACCGTCCTCCACCTCCTAGTTACCAGGCCTCCATGCAGGAATACCGGCTGCGTCTTCTGCTCTTGGATCGCCATCATGCACACACTGCAAATCCACAAGCACCTTCTCCACCGCCTACCTACCGCTCGGGTGCCCATAACCTTAGAGGGTAAGTCAGTGAATACTTTCAAGTTAAAGTACATTACAGTATGTAACATTTAACTAGAAGAAATGCTACTAGTATCATCAGACAATTACAAATAAGATATCTTCTCTCACCTTACATCCATTTCTTTTATTTTACCGTGTTATATTTTCTCAGACTGGCCGTAAACACCTTGGGACGAGAGAGCAACTACAGCCACCCACCAAGTTATCGATCAAGGGAAGGTTCCATCTCCCACAATCCTGATGCCATTCCATCATCCCATCCAGGAGGATCTATAGCTCCTGCACATTCCAGGGATCCCTCGTGCTTATCCTTCCTCTCACATGAATCAATATACTCGACTGGAGCTCCACCTTCACAAGATGGTTCTCTTCGAGCAGCACAATTGGTGGATAGAGATAAAGTTGCTGTTATGGAGGACTCGGCCTTACCACCAGCCAAGAAGGATAGCCGTAAGGATGACAACACTGTTACCATTGTACAGACAACAGATTCATCACAAGTCATTGGCTCTGATGCTGTAGTTGTTACAGTATCAGGTTCACATTCAAATTATGTTACAGCTCCATCACAACCCACCTCCAATGATGCTGAAATATCCGTCCTAGCCCACCTTTGACCTCAGTTACTGCCTGATGAATCCAAACTTTGAAACTAATATATTTACAGCATATTACAAAACTAGCTGATGTTTTCAATGAGACAAAAAAATAAAATATATATGTATTTTCTTATAAATAAGATTCCTATTTGTATTTCATTAAGTATGAAGGCTTGTTAGTGGTAGCCATATTTTTTTTTAAACTTTACCCTATCAAGCAATTTTGAAGGTAGATTATGGAGTTGTATAGACTGATGTTGATCTGAATGTATGAGTAAAAAATACATAAAAAAAATACAAATATGTATTCATTACCATCACAAGGGTTGATCTACATGGACAGTTGACCACAGGTGGCAGAACACTATACATGTGGGCAACTGTACAGTAGTCGCCCATTATATCATAACAATTTGATTCTTTTGGAGAGTGCTGTTGCCATAGTCAGAGGTTGTTGATTCTATTGTATATAAATATTGTGTAGTCTTTGTTTATTTGCACAAACCAGCCAACCTCACATGTACTTGAGGTGACTCGAGTGGTATATTTAGTCATATCTAACTTATGACATATTTAAAATGCATGTATGAGTTGTAAATAATCACTATTGGCATTTATATATACATATATCACAAACATACTTTATAATCCATGATTGTAAAAGTAACCAAAAAATAGTCATTATAGATTAGATTATATTGCCAGTGTTCTTCCTGTGGTATAGGAGTGACAAGTGGGGACCAAAATTCTGCACAGTTAATTCATCATGGTTGACTTCCATACATGTGAATGACATTACTTTGCAAATAAAGAAATCTAGACAAACTAATGGACATAGTGTGGACCCTACTTGTCACTGCTACTGTGACGCTCTTGTGTCTTGTTGGGTGCTGTAGCAGAATCACCTTATCTCAACACAATATGTGATGTGTTTGAGCTGAGTTTCAGTATTGCATATTTTCTTTTTCCTACAACTCCAAAACTTGAGCTTGTCTCAAAACCTGTGATGTATTTACTTTTAAGTTCATCACATGTTGATAAATCTGCATAACATGAATATATAGTTAAATTTAAGGATATTATTTGAACTGTTATTCAGTAGCCTTTTATTTTTGTGCATATTATGAGTTGGCCTGATACTACTGTACTGTCAAATCAATGGAACTGTTTCCCCAGTTTTCGCTAAAAAAAAATATGTATGTAGGTCATGGTGAAAAATTATGGATTTCCAAAAAATTGATAAAACGCAAACTCTTACCGATTAGACACAAGCTCGAATCCTGTGGCCAAGTAGGGTTGGTAGGGCAATATTTGCTAGGGTATTGCTCCACTTTTCACAACGATGCAGAGTTAAGCTAACCCTTCTGGAAATAGCATAATGAATGTTAGCTTTTCACAAATGTACTCTTGGGGCAGCAACATTTTGACTCTTCCCATAATATTTCAGTCGCTGATAACCTTTACACAAAGAGTTTAGAGCAGAGAAAACACTTCAATCATTTGAAAAATCCTACATGTTAGTCAGGCTTCCACACAAGAGAAGTAATTGCTACATTATTACAATGCAAAAAATAATTATGTAGAAAAGGCCAGGATTACCGAAGCAAGTACAGTAGTACTGTACAGTGATATCCCCATTAGCTGGAATAATTGGTGCAAAGCTCTTCTGGAAATGAGATATTTCCGGGTATTGAAATGAATTTCTCATCCCCGAAATTTTTCCGGATACTGTACTGGGTTAAGTATTCAGAGTCTAAACTACGCACATCGCACGGAGAGATACAGAGCTATATTTATTTAAGCAAAATATACTGTCGTACTATGATACCTTTTTTAACGGAGCTTCGACCAACTAGTTTTCGTTTTGATGGAAATTAAAATAATATTAATTTAATAATTACTGTATTAAAGTAGTTATAGTTTCATTCAAAAAAAAAATATAGTGAGAGAATCACCGATAAAGTCTGCCGCCACCTTTGTTGTTTACGGCCTCAAAGCCAGGCATGGAAAGCTGGCAGCCTGTGGGCCGCATGCTGCCCAGATCATGTGTTTGTGTGGCCTGTAGAGTGATTGAGAAATTCTATTTAACGTGGCCTGCGGGTCAGATAAATGCAGCCAGTTTATGGTGAGTAAAGCAATATTTATTAAAAAAAATAATCTTTACACACAATTTGTTGCCGTTTCATCACCTAAGAATAAGTAACTACAAAAATGTAACAGTGAAATAATATATATAGTCAACAATATAAATAAACCTTTTAACTTGTGAGAGTTTATGGACCAGGTTTGGCATGGTCTGTTTGATGGATTAGCTGCCATGAGGCAGTGAGTCACTTGGGAATTAACTCAGGTTGGGTAAGTCCAAGTGAGGTCACGGGCAGTGGTCACACAGTGTTCAACACAACAATACCAAAATTGCACCTCGGAAACCCATGGTTAGCAAGTAATTAGCATTGAAATAATGTAATTAAAATTTTTCAAGCGTCATTATTACCGGTAATTACCCCACAAACGAATCGGGGACCATAGATTTGGAATCAGCATGCTCAGGATTACTTATACTAAGATTTTAAATGAAGTCTAATTTTGGGTCGAAACCGCCAATACAGTATACAAATATGTAAAGAGAGAGAAGTGCCTGCAGGTTTTCATTGTAATTCCTCATATGCCAAGATTAACATTGGAATTATTCTGGTGGGTGTGTATCGTAAGTAAGAGAAATTCTGTATCTGTAGGAAAAATAAACGTGTTCACAAAATGCGTCGCTCACCTTCTGTTAAATGCCAAGAAACATTAACATATTACTTTTAAATTATGATGGATTTGTTTCATAAATGGGAAAAAGGCGGACTGTAAACTGAAAATATCATAAGGTGGACGTGACGATAAACTGCTTCACTGTCCGTGCTAATACTACAATATTAACATTACTTTTTGGTTAGGTAGGATATAAATTTTGGTGGGTTGGCCTGCAGAAAAATACCTAAATCGTAATGCAGCCCATTGCTGAGGAAAGGTTGCCCATGCCTGCTCTAAGCCAATCAGATATCATCTCAAAATGTACACAGTAGCCCACCAAGATTCGTGTCCATGAAGGAAGGATTGTACAGTACAGGCACTGTCTACTACACATACACCTCTACACTAGTGTACAGTCAGCATACACTGTCTACCTGGTTGTGCACAATACTTTCACGCTTGCTGAATGTACAGTATAGTTACTTTTTGTGTATCAACTTGTATTTTTAGCCGATTGTGTCCTGGTACAGTAATGTACAGCACTACACAATATAAATTGTACGTAAAAACAGCAGTGAGCAAAGGGAACAACCTTGTATAATGGCAACAGAATACGAACTAAGCGCATGAGCTACCAAAGCAGTTAGCCTACCTACATGCCCAGTATGTTGAGATGCGTTGGAACATGATGCAATATCTCTGAACTTTTTTAAAATTTGTCCTCATTCCCAGAACAGAACGAAGAGATTTCCTCTCAATTTTTCTGGAAAATGTGAATGATTTCATCCTCTGAAACTTGTTCCCATGCTCGGAATGGAGAGCTTTCCAAGAATGCTCAAAATTCATTTCGGCTATTATAGAATTTCGGGGACCAAAGGTTCCGACTAACGGGGATATTACTGTACAAACATGTAGGAAAAATAAATATAAGAAATTATTAAAGTATGGACAACAGCAAAATTTAAGAACCAAGGATGTATGGCAAACCACCAGGTGGTGTTGCACTCTGACTGGCCACAAAAACTATCAATGAGAGAACAGCTGTCCCTTTATGTCTCCTATGGTAGTGCTTCCATGGGTAACCGAGGCCTAGCAGTGTACTGAATATTTACATATATATTTTGTATTCTACTAAACAGTTGAAGGAACTTCCATATATTTCACACATCTTTTAGAATGTGAGATCAATGAGAGTTCTCTGTACTGTACAGTATATGCATATTTACCAAAATTTAAAAGATGGATACAAATATGTGGAAAATACCTGTATTTGTAGTCCATTTTGGAGTCTAGTAACACTTGATCAATCACTTCTTTGAATTGCTATGTAAATCCAGTAGTAGTGCTTCAGTGTGTGTGTGAACAAGGCCAGCCCTATTAACTTTCACCCTTTGCTCTCAAAACCTTTAATATCTCAATGAACCAATTTTGTTTTTTAAACATTTTAATAGCACTAACCTCTCTCAAATTATAGTCAATTATGGCTACAATAACTGGGTCTTATTTATATACTCATGACTTATGCAGACCTACTTGAAGTGGGAAGAGATTATATAAGTGAGAGAGGTTCTTCCTTCCCAGAGATTATCATATTATTCCTGGCCACAGCATTTAATCAATCGTTTTATGCTATACCTAATTTCATTTTAAAAACTGGAGAAAAATTATTTTCCTTGCTGAATATGATATAAAATTTTTGGGCATAATTGTAAAGGTCCCTGTATATATTTTGTATAACTAAATAAAACCATCTTTACACTCATATTTCTTTTAATTCATGCTGCCCTGCAATCTTGAAGCATAAGTCATGTTTCAATAGTTTAAGCTGAACAAGAAATGTTAAAAGTATCTCAACCAAGATCAGTCGAGTAATGCATAGGTTAACATACAAGATCAGACTTGAGGACTTGACACATGCAGTTATTACATACATGACACCTGAATGAATAAGGTGGTTGATTACTTATATAATTCCTCAATGCAAAGTCCCCCCCCAAAAAGTATCGTTAGCCATGGGGTCAATGTGATTCGAGGCTTTCTGAACAATGTTACTCGCTCTGTTTCTGTATAGCTGGTAGTTCTACACCTGCGACCTTTGAGCATGAATGAGTATACTGTATATGTTTTCAAATAATACAAATACTGCTTAATGGATATCTTGTTATATTGAAGTAACTCATATATGCTATACAAGGATGACTCTCCACAATCCTAACCCCATCTCTATCTGTTGCTGATATGGCAAGCAAGCATATCAACTTATGATGATGCACTGGGGATCACGTCAAAGCATTTTGTCAAGTGTTTCAAATTTAGTGATGGAAAATCTAACAATACTTCTTATGGGGACTGTACATCTTGATCAAAAAGACCATGAACGAAATAGTCTTAATGCCTAGTAATCATTATATTCCTTCAACAGTAAAATTTGATGGATGTGGTACTAACCATAGCTGTTCATAATTTTGGACTGTTAAACTACATTGATTATCGAAGGTTAAATTTGTCACAGGTTGAGTTTTGAAACAATTTACATCTCAAAAATCATTACAAATTATACACAGATTAGATCTATCTACCAAAAAATCACTTCTATCTTACCTAATGAAAAGGTTTAGCATTGACGCTGGACACATCCTCTGGACCGTACTGTATCTCTTTGTGGTATGAAGAGTTCAGGTTTGAGAAAATTGCTGAAACACTACAATACCTAAAATGTAAAAACTTAAACAAACAAAAAATTCCTTACTCAAGACTTGTACACACAATCCAAAAAGTATCTCTTACAATTTTGTGTTAGGCAATATGACACAATGGATGAAGGATTTGACAACAGAAGTCACAGAGTTCATTTTGAAATTCATCAGACACCTCCATAAAGATACTTTTTGGACCATGTGCACTTATCTTGGGTAAGAACCATGAAAACTTCTCTCCATAGACCAATCTACATAAAATTAGTAATGATTTTTTTTCATAAGTATAATGAATTGTAGAAAAAAAATAAAAACCTGTGTAACACCATGAGATTAAGACTGCCTTATGTACTACATACAGGTATGCCATTAGGAACACTACAAATGCACATCTCGACTGAACAAGCTAACATCACCTACACCAAGAGACAACCAGAGTTGTACCGTAACACTCCAGACACCTTTTGTTGTTCACTCCGCTGTTGGATCCAGACTTTAAGCAAGTGTTCAACATACTATAACAATGGTACACAACTTGGTTAACTGGATAGGAATTAATGATTATCAACTTCAAAAATTTTAAATTATGTGAATTATAAAAAAAGAATATTCTGCACTAGAAACTTATTAATGAACACTGCATTCAATAAACTACCCTTTGAAAACTAACCGATATAAACGAGGTCAATGGAGTATTACCGCTAGACTCGGCCGAACGTCTCCAGGAACAGCCTAGCAAGCCACAGGACATCACAAGATTGACTCAATACACGAAGGTCTCTTACATCAAATGAATGATTATTCTAGATTTTGATGATACAGAATATAAGTGAAATGAAAATGATATGCATTTAAATTACAAGACGCACACTCTCCATTTAGATCTCTCTACAAACGTATAGAAAAATCAAAATACAGTGGCTGACAAAAAAAAAAAAACTACATATGTATGTACAAATAAATTGTTGTGCCCTCTGATATATGTACAAATAAATCACAAGCAGTATACATAAACTGCAACATTACCAATAAGGAATACACCTGATCTACCTAACAGATGATAAACTGTTTGAGATCAGCTGAAGTCACGTTTCATCACAAATTACAGTCAATACCACGAGCTCTGAAGTCACTACATTAAATCATGCACCAAATGTATTGCATTTTGAAACACAAGGTTTACTTACACCTAGTCATAACTAAGTTCAGGTAACAAAATCAACTTTACTGTGGCACTACATCAAAAGTATCACCCTTAACTTTTGCAGCTCTTAAAATGCATGTTTTTTTAGGATGGGGAGGGGCAGAAATTTAACCTTTTGGACCAAATTGCATGTAAAACAACTGCTGAAGCTACATTTGAGATGGATGTCAATGAGACATTTGTCAAATATTTATGATGCAATTGGCCACTTACCTAAAGGAAGTTCCTCCTCCGTGCCACTAAACAGTAGATGTTACACACACCCATACTCATACCAAACCGAATTATCCACAATATCTTTCCCGGTCTTTAAAGGCGTGTCATCTGAAGGAGGTGGCCTTGGTGGAGGCTTCGGTGGTGTTGGATCGGGAATGTCAGGAGGTGAAGTTTGACTAGAGATTAGGGAATCTGGCTGAATGACGCTGGACCCACGACGGGATCTTGGGGGAACCTGTGGTGCACTACAAACGTATGAAATCATTAGTATACACTACCTATTTCAGGGCTAAAAAATATGACTCCTAAGTGGCAGACCAGAAATAAACATAATACAAAGTGAAGTCTTCCAAAAGATGAACCTTTATGTAAATACTTAACATTTATTTGCTAATTCTACACTACTAGCCAAAATCACAAGTTTTAAAAACACCACAGTTCATGTTTAATAATAAATACCCAATATAATATAACTACAACTGTAATGTCATGAAATTGTGAACAAACTGACAGAATTCAAAATGTATTGAATTTGGCAGCATACCTGGATGAATGATCTGCGCGGGGTGGCAAACGGGGAGTGGTAGGGGGTTCGTCGTCCACTGCCCGTTCTCTCCGAGCACCAGTCTTTGGTGTCGATGCCTGTGGTGCTCCTCCTGGTGTTGGGGTGCAGGGAGTGGAGGGAGGAAGGCTGCTGTGGATGCTGCTGTAACTCCTACAGAAAAAATTATATAAAAATATTACGGATATGAAACTTCTTATTTCAGGGCGACTACAGAACGAGACAACACCATCATGCAAAGGGTTATAATGCTGTCTGTAGGATGATGCTCCACACACACTAGCAAGGTTACTAACTCCATTTGGCACAGAAGGTGCAATTGAAATTCAGACCAGCTGCACTGAATGAATCAAAGAAAACACACACAACCAAACACAGAAGCATAAACATACAACTACAATACTGTACTGCACTCTCTTGTTGTTTCCAGAGGCCTGACAGGAAATACTACACACAATCTCGATACAGAATATGGCTACATGAACAAGGACCAAAATCCAGAGAGATGAAAAGGGAAGAATATGTACTGTACTGTGAAACTTTAACATAAGAGAAAAGTTCCCAATAAGGATATTTTCAAACAATCAGAGTACCGTTCTCCCACGTGAGGGTTGGCGACCACAGTCTTCCACTCTAAACATTCTTAAGGCCATTTTTAGCAAACCTTTGGTGTTTTGTATCTCTCTGGGGACCCACTTTTTAGTGTCAATCATCCTTCTCAGTCTGTACCTTCCCCTGGTCCCCCTACTCTCAACTTTGCCCATTTAAATTTTTTATTGTTCCCTCATCCCTAATTGTATGACCAAAGCTAATTTTAGAATCAACTAAATAAATGATGTTTACACCTAACTGATCTGTGACTGGAAACAACCTTTGGACCATTATTGTTTTCCCGCGGGTGTGAGTCGGCCTCATGAGAACAAGCATCTTTTGTATTATGATCAGTGGTTGGAGGGTTGGGATTACAGCAGCAGTATTGAAATAAGATGTAGATAAGGTCTCAAATGGCAGCTAAGACCAGTACAGTAAAGCTCCAATAACGATGGTTCAACTAACAGATTCATATCTAAGACCCTGGTTAATTTAGGACCCAATTCAATGTACACCATTATTTTCTTTGTATTGAAGATAAAATCAAAATAAATATATTACATTTTCGTATAAATAATAACTAAATCCACATATTATAAAAAAACCACGCCTTGCACACGGAAGTTGCCGGGCTTGTTAGTGGTGACGCCAGCATCACTAGTGTAAACAATCGCAGCTGGCGGGCCCTTTGTTTTCACGCATCTGAACAGGAAAAGGAGAAAAGCTTTCTCAGGTTTCTTCCAGCATTTTTGCATCCCTATTCAATATGAGCAAGAGAGCAGGAGATGGTAGTGTTGTTTCAAAAGCTAATAGAAAGTGCATAAGCTTAGCCAAAAAACTAGATGTTATAACAATATGAAAAAGGTGAGAGGTCTGTGGATATTATATGGAGCAGGCAATGAACATATTTTCTGAAGTGGATCCATTAACAGAACAAAGCATTAAAATTTAAATAAATGCAAATGACCTCTACATAAAGATGTATAATGAGAAAAGAAAGCAGCTGTGCAAGGTTCTTTTGACAGCTTTATTATTCAAAGGCCTAAACCATCAACTTCAGCTACACCATCAAATTCAGTATCATAAGCAGCTTCAACAACAACTTCAGGTTCAGTAACAGTTTCAGCAACAGCTTTATGGAAAGCTACAGCTTCAGCCAGAGTTGAACCTGATGACTTCGTCATCTGAGTAAAAACTCGCTGTCCTTATGTTTTTGACTACCACCATTGGCGAGTAGAATTTTTGTTACCGGTATACATTCGTAAATATTATTTAAAACATATATGAACAGTAAATAAGTGTTGCCTTCATATTCATATGCAGAGAAATGACGATATGTTTTCACATGTACACACTTACTGTACATACGTTGGCGTTCCCAATCGTCTCGCTTTATTTCATTACCATTAGTGGTTAGCTACTTCTAGTGTTCCATTTTTGAACATTAAATCACATTACTTAAAACATACATACAGGTATTCAATTTTTTGACATTAAGTTCACTACAGCTGCAACCAGGATCTTATTTTCTTCAGTAGAACCATCGTCACTCACAAAAACAATGCCGTCTTGTCTCCTCTTGTGTGTTTTAATATTCTACGTATTATTTATGAATTGTATTGTTCATTTCGCATATATAAAGATTAATTCAATCAAATACATATTCAGTAATAAACAACAATGAATCTTTTGTACATAGTCTTAAAAAGATAAATGGCACGGTATCTTTAAATGAGCACGTATATGTTGGCATTCCCAAACCATCTCACTTTTTTTTCTTTACCATTAGTGGTTAGCTACTTCTATTGTTCCATTTGTTAACATTACTCAAAACATATATATTCATTTTTTTACAATAATTTTACTACAGCTAAAGCCAGGGTCCTATTTTATTAATTTTCTCGTGTAGAACTATCGTCCCGGACTCCCGGCTGTAAACACAAACGAAAACAATGGCTTCCAATCTCCTCTTGTGTGACCATATTATTATTCACTTATATTGTATAAGGTGCTTTCAGAAACATTATTTAAAGAATATACACTAGTTTGCAATTTTCATTAATTGTATTGTTTTGGGGGGAAAAGAGGGTAAAAGGCCACACAAAAGATATGAAAAGGTCACACGTGGGAACGCATCTCATTATTATTGCTTTATTTTAATGGTAATTAATGATTCGCAGTACGATGATTCACCTTACACTGCAATATTAGAGGACACATTACCGTCGTTATTCGAGGCTTTATTGTACGTTGTTAGCTGTAGGGATGGTGACCAATATCAGAGGTGGTTTTATATTCCTTCCATTCCAGTTGCGTCCATATGGGAGGTCAGGTGGATTAGGGAATGCTTAGCTGCCGTTCAAGGTTAAATGTTGAGTTTTGTATGCGAGGCTCACTGAATCCCTGTCCATGCTCCCTACTCTGCAGGCCACAGTACATGAACCACAATTGTCACATACCTCTTATTAATTTATCTACGTGTTTTTCTCATCCTTCCCATAATTAAAAACAAGCACAAACATACAGTACACACAAATACCATACTTAAGATGTGGCAAATAAAGGATTAATAAGCTGTAGTCATCCCCCAATGGTTAAAGAAAATATCTTATCAGTTAGGATGAGATGGATTACAGTTTATACACACAGAAACAAAGCAATCAAAATTGGTTATCAATATATTAACCTTTTTTTGCCAAATTAATGTGGACATAAAATGTTATAATATTAAAGTATACAGAAAGAGACAGACCTGCACCAAACTATAAACCACAGGTATTTTTCATACCTGTTTATCACCTGTTGGCTAAGAGAGGCTGATGATGTACTGCGTATGGATGCTCTGCCTCGGCTCTGAAAAAACAATAATAATGAGGTCTAGTTTCTAATGCTAAAATGCACAGATTATACTAAACACCAATTTATAAGTATTCATATTGGATATATACAGTACAATGTGTTTGAGTGTGTGCATGAAAAGTAATTTACTGTACAGTACTGCCTTCTGGGCTGTATTATACAATACTGTACTTGTACATGCCCATACTAAAAGTTAAAAATTAACCGGGATAAATTTGATACTTTTAATACTGTACTTTTCTTTACTGTAAACCCCAAAGTTAAGTCATCACTGCAGTACATAAGTGGAGGTAATACTACAATATAATGCATCTGAATAGTACACAGGTCTTAGCTACCTGGTTATCTTGCAGAGGTTCGGGACCCACATCCCGTGTTGGTATGGAATCTGAATCTTCGGTGAGGTATACAGGGCGTCGAGAACCAGCACGGCTAAGCTCGGCAGTCCCACTACCGGCTGTTACTGTAGAGAGAGAGTCCTCCTGGTGGCTGTCACTAGCATCACCTGATCGCACACTCCCCACATCCTCTGATGATACTGAACCTCTGTGGATTGAAACAAAAATCTAAGATACAAGTAAAAACTACAATTCCTATTTTTTCTTAAATTTTTTATGAATACATGAATTAATGCTAATGAACAAATATGCTTAATTTCTTAATGAATAAATTAATGCTTTAGTCTCCATCACCTGAATGAGATTACTACATCCCTTCCCAACAACACATAAAATACAGTAGGGTCAGGATATGTCACGAGATAGGGTCCAACGATGTTCGCTATATACTAAATCGGGATATATAATTACATGTAATCAATGGGGAAAATAGGGTTGGGTTCTGGAGGCCCCCAAAAATTATTAAACTTGACTAACGAGTTCATTGTCTTACTAACTAAAGCACCAATGAACACTAGACTCGGGAACAACAGGTTGTTTCAATATCAACATCAAGGAACACCAGTCTCAGGAACACTATATTCGGCAGCTGGCGCACCATCCTGGGAACACCAGACTCGGCAGCAGACGCCACACTGCCACCCTCACTTGACAATCCCACACCTACATAAACGAACACCAAAAATATTACTTACAGTATTAAATCTTTTCCATTATCTTCACTTCACTTCACTTCACTTCACATGTCACTAGCAACCCATTTACACTCGCCTCAGAAGTCGTAAACTGCAGCAGAGTCGGCTGCTTTCTTGTCACTCGCTCAGAAAGACTGAGCAGGCGAGTGTGAATGCATGAGTGAGCAGCCACGGTGGCGCCTCTGGTGAGCAAATAACGCATTTGTTTGCCATGGCGGTACATTTGAAATATTTCCTGTCTGATTTCCCTCGCGAAATAAGAAAATTTATCGCTAAATAAAGGAAAATTTCAATAATTTTGGTCGCCGCGATATACAATTTTTTTTATATAAAGTCTCGATAAATCCCAACCCTACTGTACTGTGCTTCTAGTAGTAGGACCTATACCATTTTTTTTAAACATAGTACTGTACTGTAAAACTGACACTTAACATTCCCAGTCATATACTGCACTGTACAAAACTTTCAGCTAAATGTAAAAAAATTATAAATTCATTGTGCATAAACAAAACTACTAGCAATGAACTACAGTACATGGAACCTCAAATACTATTACTACCTATACAAGCTCAAAGCAAAGTATGGTCTTGATGGCAAAAACTGCTAATACAATTGGAACTGGATTCTTTAAATTTGCAATCTGACCACTAGCAAAAAGTTACATACATCCACAAACAGTGATCAAAGCTAGCCACAGGTCAGGCAAATAACAAAGTAGTGGGAGAATACTTTAACTGTTGCCTAAGGGGTAAATAAATTGTATTTCCCAAATGGTTTAAATGTCTCAGTAGAACATTTTAAAGATAAGAACCAGGAACTTCAACAAGAGGAAGAATTATAAAAACTTTTATGCTAGATTTACAACATTCCAGAGTAAATAAGGTGTTCGACACTAAAAAAACCTAACTACTAACTTTAAAAATAACAAATCAAGTACAACTCAGTTCCATAGCTGCAAGACATAGTAATGAAGTAAGAAAACCAAGATCTTGGTATAATGGTAAACATTTACAACAGTTCTCCTCGAGTCCTGATATTTGCTCACACTTCACTCAAGCTGCCACTGGTTCTAGCTGTCTATATTTCATCCATCTGGGTTAGAAAAAAGTTGACAGATTTTGCCTTCACAAGCAGGCTACTACTGCAGGTACAACACTGAACCTACTTGTCCCTACACAGCTGGGTCTGCTAATAGTCACCTCCTCTATCACTGTTCCCACCACAGTCTTGCCCATTATTCTAAAATAAAAAAAATGTTGTGAACTCTTAACTCCTTACTCATGAAAGCTGATCTTGACCTACCATCAATTTTCTATTTTCCAACCATCACGACATGCTGAGTGCTGTTACACTGTGCAGTAGTTTTAAATCATATACATGATTTTTGCAAGATATATCCTTACTATACCAAAACTAATTTGTAACGAAATGTTAAGGATGGGAGATCCATTTGAACTGTACAGATTATGAGGTGACATCCAAATATGTTGGCAATATTAAATTGACTAAACTTGTAGACAACTGATATTTTCCCCCTGACATTATGTAACAAATGAACAAACCTCTCAAGTGTATGATGAAGTCAAACGATTGCCAGAAAATGAGGATTATGATCGAGAAAATAAAAAGGGTATAAGTGTACATATCCCCCTGTGCAGTAATGAGACATAAATGTTCAATTTACCAAGAGACACTTGTCTCTAAGATGCTATATAAAAACATTCTCTTGAAAGATAAACCATCTTTCTCTTCCACCCACAAACAAGTTTTTTTAATATACCCGTCCGTGTGTGTGTGTGTGTGTGTGTGTGTGTGTGTGTGTGTGTGTGTGTGTGCATGCATTCATTAGGAGAGGATGTGTCAGGTTGTGTGTGCATGAGGATATCCCGTTTACATACAAAAAAACCATACCTGAGTATTTCCGAGGTGAAGGTATCACTGAGGGCTGGTGGCAGACTTTTCCTATAATGATTAGGTGTTTGTCCATTCCTCCCTGATCTCAGTTCTCCAGCCTCCCCATCATGCAGTGGGGAAGGCGGCAGGTTAGGCGAGGAACGGCGAGTCTCGGAGCCGGAATCCAGTGAGTCGTTAGCATGTGAAGAAGATCCCAAGGATGAGGAGTCTGGGCTGTCTCCACCCTCTTCACGCCCACGGGATCTCGACCGCCCACTCTGAGGTCCAAAATGTATGATTATAACACAGTATGCAACTGCTACACATTGTAGCCATTATTGCTATATAATACTGTATAATACAGTCCTACAATTACTGAAAACAAAAGCAATGTAACATGTAAAGAAATTTATATACTGTACCATAATTGTCATGAAAGTTTTACACATACCAAGAATGAAGACTGACCCATTAAATCACAAGTACAGTACAGTGCTGCACTAGGTTATGGAGATGCCCCCCCCCCCCCTATCTCATTACTATTTCTGTCTTTAATATTTTAAACACTTTTCATGGGGTATCACAGTACTGTACTGTACATGATATAATGCATATTCTGTACAGTACACCAAAAGTTCCTGACTATAAAATATTTTGCTATAAGTCGCTCCTCCCTAGAACACATCTCCGACGTATAATGAGGATCCCCTGTACAGTATGTGTAAATACTTACCCTGGGTACCTTACTGATGAGCTCCGTCCCGGCTTTTCTCACTCTGCGGACCAGGTTAGAGCCAAAACCTTTCCTGAGAAGACAAAACACACAGACTGACCATTAAAGAAACACATTATCTCTGGTAGGTACAATCAAATGGTTGTACTGTATTTTATTCCTCCTCTTCCTTCAATACATTTATTCTACACTACATCACATTCAACTCGAGGTTTTGTATACATAAATAGCACAGTACAAAAAACAGGTCATACAAATATATCAGGTTATTTCGATACAGTATGTTACAACTCACAAAAATATGCAAAGTAATTACTACAATATTTCAACTAATTAATGAGAGTCCCACAGGTGTCGGTATCAAGAAACTATGACAACTGATCCTGAGAATAATAAAACTGCAACATCATTTACCGGTATAACCTTAAACTTTTAGAGTGAAATTGTAAGTTATGAGATTAGTTCTACTCAAAACAACACATTCACAGAGACCATGCAAGAAGGTGGTCAAGGGGACAGTGGATTCAAATAATTAAGTAGCTTCTCCTTTTGATCATTAAAAATAGAAAAATGTGAAAACAGCTTAGTGTATAAAGTGTGCATCTTAAGGAATAAATGAACCAAGATATCTAACCATCTCTCTCAAGCAAAATGAAACCATCTCCATTCCCAAACTGGATAACCTCAAGTGTTTAAAAAAAAAAAAAAAAAAACTTATTCACTACTGTATATGAAACCATCCATGATATACAACATTACAAGGAGACAGTCAACAGAGATAACAGGTATATTAAATATAACCTGGCTGGTTCCATTATAAATTTGAAAAATATTGTATTAAAGTGTGTGTGTGTGTGGCCTCTATACTGTCTCTAAGATGTTTTAGCAGTTGGTAATAACAGTCATATGTTATCACTATCCTTCTAAACGCTGCAATTTGCGATTCTAAAACTAATAATTATTTCTCTTCCGACATTTCCCTACTTCCAAGAATCTTTTTCCCGTGTAATTTAGTTCTAAAGTGTACACATGGAAAACTGCATTCCTGCATGACAACAAAACCAATGTGCAGTATTGTTTGGATGAACTGTGCTAAAATGTTAATGTTACTGAAGAATATTTTTAATCCACCACAATATGAACACAAACTATTCAATATTTTATCACAACAGGAACAAATCTCCTACTTAAATTGATTATATGTATGGAATAAATAAGTAAGGAAGACATCAATAATTAACCAAAACTTTCAACAGAAAAAGAATACAGTGCATTAATATGAATCGGCTGCAGGTGAATAAACCGAGGCTACAGTAGTTTTAGCGTGAAATTCTTCTGTGGGTGAGAAAGTGGCTATGACAAATGGCATACAGTACACCATTGGGAGGAAAAAAACAATTAACTATAGCCAATGGTGGTTAATAATCACAGTACAGTACATTCTCCATGCTGAGTTACAACTAAGACTACAAGAGTTAAATGACTTCACACGGCCAAGGTGGAAAAGAACTGCATTATGTTTGACTTGAGTGATGAACAGTAAATAATGAGAGTAATTTGTTCTTCCAGTCATCAGAAAGACAACAATCAAGGCATGAAACATACACAAGATTTCTGAAAATATTACAAAGGAGAGTTTAAAACACAACTACCAGTCTGCATGTTACCCTTGGCTCTACATATGTTATAAAATACCAATGATTTCAAATTATTTCATCAAACAATATAAACACTAGAAATTTTACCATATAAAAGTACAGTTAAATACAGTATTGTCAATTTCACGAGGAACTATAGACCACATTACGACACTACAAATCTTTTTCATAATTCTGAATTGATGTTTTAGTAATGTAAAGCATTCTGACAAGGTGAAGGTGAGATCCAACATGGTAGAACCAGTGGTAACATGACACAGAAGAATCAGTAGTTACATGAGAGGGTTGCAATGACCTGAGGCTACTAAACACATCCCGTGTTACTTACGAGTACGGCACACAGCCCGGTGACAACCTAGCAGGGGGAACATTCCTTCTTAGATCCACACTAAACTATACTCTTATCAACTATAAATTCCTCATACTAATTTCATATTAGTATGGAAAGATGCACATCAATATAACAATCACTCCTTATCAAGATTCAAGACGTACAGAGTATTTATAAGAAATGCCTTAAAAACTACAGTACTGTACATAGAGCTGAATGAAATGTTTTACCAATATTAATGTCTATAAACTATGCTTAACCCATTACCAAGGAAAGTCACTACATTAAACTGTCAGAGAGCTGACGGACTTCCACCAGCACTAAAAGCCCCCAAAACGTACACTAAACCCATAAAAAAAAGCAATAGTAAAAAAATTACCATTGTCGAAACCCATTGTTTCAGCATATGAGGTCCCGAACAAATTTTGTTCAAAATTCATACAATGGTACTACTTTATATGCTGTTGAAGGATTGGGGTTTTACGTTTTAAATTTCAAGTAATTAGTGTTAATTAATGAGCTTTGAAATAATTTAATACATACAGAATATTTAAAATGACAATTACTTTGAGCCCATAAGTTTTAAATCACCTTTATATACATTTTCTCATTAACAGACTAGTATTTTTAAGGTTTAAACAAGTTACTTTTCAGTTCCCAGAGAAAAGACGTTGTATTGTGAAAATGAGGTTTTGGGCATTTGAGGTAAAAAATTAGATTTTGTTCAAATTTCATACAGAGACACGGTACTCTAACATGCTGGTTAAGGATCTGGGTTCTAAACCTTAAAATTCATGTAATAAGTTTTTATTACCGAGATTTGAAATAATTTATTACACTGTATACAGAATATTTAAAGCAATAAGTATGCTGAGTCTGTCCGTTTTAAAGTGCACACACACAGCAGGTGATGGTAGTGTTGTTTCAAAAGCTAATAGAAAGTGTATAAGCTTAGCCGAGAAACTAGATGTGTTAAAACGATATGAAAAAGGTGAGAGGTCTGTGGATATTATATGGAGCAGGCAATGAACATATTTTCTGAAGTGGATCCATTAACAGAACAAAGCATTAAAATTTAAATAAATGCAAATGACCTCTACATAAAGATGTATAATGGGAAAACAAAGCAGCTGTGCAAGGTTCTTTTGACAGCTTTATTATTCAAAGGCCTGAACCATCAACTTCAGCTACACCATCAAATTTAGCATCATAAGCAGCTTTAACAACAACTTCAGGTTCAGTAACAGTTTCAGCAACAGCTTTATGGAAAGCTACAGCTTCAACCAGAGTTGAACCTGATGATTTTGTCATCTTAGTAAAAACTCGCACAATATTCATTGGCTGTCCTTAAGTTTAAGAAATTTACCCCTATTGCAAACTTTATCACACCTCAAATACAATACAAAACTAAATGAATCAACTCCGTGAGATAATAGAATTACTATGAAGAATCGAGTAAAAGTTCTGTTTAACATTTAAAAATTAGAGCCTTACTTCTTAGACGGGGAGTTGTCCATGCGTCGGTACTGCTCCATGATCTTCTCCTCCAACTTCTCCTTCCCTCGCCGCAAATTATTCAACTTGTCCCTACAAAATTAAATATTCGCCATCATAGTGTTCAAAGTGGAAATCAAACTCGTAACATAAGAAATTTTGACTTCATGTAAAAGATGAACAAGCGCGTTCTATATTTATCACACCCGTCCCATGAAGCTCGAGTCAGAAGCACACATACGTGAAGTTTTTCTCCTCCTGATGGAAGTGCTGCTTGTCCTCCAGTGTCTGGGTGAGGAGGTCATGGTACTGGGTCAGCAGCAACGACACCTGAGACATGAGTGACCGCCTGTCCTCCTCAAGGGTCATATTGAGGGTCTGAAGCACCTACAATATGTAACAAAGGAAATTTTGGGGATTAGTTACATTACATATATGTGGGGAGGAGGGGGGAATCTTCTCTGTGGTTACAAGTGATGATGCACATGATAGTACGTAGAGAAAAGATAAGATACTTTTCTCTAAGAGTCCATCTGGATCAAGGTTTGTACCATAATCTTCCATAAGGCCAATTTAGAACAAACAATCTCTAAACATATGCCATAAAAAATAAAGAAAATAAATAAATATATGCATGTAGAGAACCTGACTCCCCCAAAAGTCTGGCCAGAAATTATAAAGTTACTGAATTCCACAAAAAAAAATATTAATTTTTATATAAATTTAATTGCATCCTCACCATACATTCTTACCCCTTAATTTCTATTTTCCTTTAACATTATTCTTCTCTTTACCAATTCCCAGCTAACACACTAATTCCACATGATTAAATTCCTCCATCATGCTTGTGCCTCCCCTGTGTTGTTCGTACCTGGCATTTGTTGGTGAGCTTTGAGACTTCAACATCTAAAGCTGCCATCTGATCACGAGCATCATTCAGTTCCCCCCGAAGTTCCGTGAGCCGCAGCTTCACAGTGTTGTTTTCGGTCTTGATGGTCTTATAGTCACCCTGGAGAGACTTGTACTCTGTTCGTAGCTTCTCGTTAGCTGAGAAGAGACTCCTGAAGTCATCCTGAAATTTAAATAGGAATACACATTTAGTTTTACAAAATCTATGAAAAACGTATCCATACACTTTAATCCAACTGAGAACCCGTTTCAACAGTTTTATTCATGATTTAACAAGAAACATCCCTACCAACTCATGATAAGAATACCATGGCAACAACACTGCCCTAATAATTCTGCATTATCTATATGCAAAACTACAAATAGGGATTCTATATAGGAAGAGAATGAAAGTTGCTTAAGAGGGCATCTAGACTGAGAATGAGGAAGACCGAAATGGAATTTATGTGAACCATAATCTTTACGTTAATTATCCACCGAGATTACAGTATAGATTTATATGTATACTGACCAATAGCTTATTTCAACTACAGTATATTAACTATAAAAAATAACTCGACCAAAGGATGAATAATGTATGCGTAAACAAACAAGTAGTGCTGTATACCTTTAGTCTGGAGTGTTCACTACGCAGGTTTGCGAGGGATGTGGAATCCGTCTTCAACTTGGTCATTTCATCTTCCAAGGCCTCACGGAGCTTTAGCAGCTCATCCTCGTTGGCAGACATGTTACTCTGACGGTCCTAAGGGTACCATCATAAGATTAGTCAACTTACATTACTGTGAGAAACAAAATTCTGACATGAACACAGTCCAATTCACATTTCCCTATGAAAATATAACAAGCTAGAGTGAAGTGTGACAGCAAATAATAATTGTTGGGTTAATGGAAATAAGCAAAAATGGCAAATTAATCATTCAAATCAATTATAAATATTTTGAATACAACATATGACACTTACACTTATAATAAAACAAGATAAAAAGAACAAATACAAACTCTTCACCCTAAACTTAATAAAATCTTTTCATAAAAAAGTGTTGGTATGTAATGCATGCCTCTAATAAACTGACAAATGTCTTCTGATAAACTGAAACTTAAAATATAAAAGGCAAACAATGATCGCCAAGATATTAAGGCAACAGAGCTAGACAAACAGGTATGATGCACAAAACACAGATGTGAAATTCCAAGTGGGTTAAACAATAGGAATAAAACCATGTCAGGTACTGTATTTAAAAATGACAGCAACTGGTGAAAACAGAAATATTATAGTGGGGGAAGAGGTAAATGGTGTAAACTAAAAGGTAAATTACAAGAAAGAATACTGGATGCTAGATGGACTGAAAAATGCATTAAACTTCCCATGCCACTTGAAATTATTTAACCTAAAAGAATACTGATAAGACACATTACCTTCATTTCCTTCTGCTCGTGTTTTAAGGTTTTGTGAGCGCTTTTGAGAGAGTTGTGCTCCAGTACAAGGTTGTCGTACTCTCTGGTCAGCTGCTGGTGGAGTCGCTGAAGGGCCTCGTGGTCAGAAACTAGCTGAGTCAGCCGGCTGCCGCGCTCATCACACGACCGACGCACCTGTAGGATCAAAGACACAGGTTCTCAGCATTTCTTCTATATTAAACCTTAAATATGCATGACATAGTCTACAAATAATCTCTCTCATATCAAGTGTCAAATGATAGTATTTTTTTTTGTGAGATCATACCTTGTCAATTCCTTTAACTAGCCTTTCACTGAATATAAATTGAGAGCCAAATTCCTCTATGTGCTACCACCTGCAGTAAACCAGCAAGCTTGACAATAAACACCAGCCAATGCCTCAGTTTTTTCAACAATAACTGTTTTTCATTATTTTCTATTTTCTTTCACAGAAATGCCCTAATATTTACCTGAATCATCATTTGTTTGTCAGATGTTTGTTTTCATGAAGTACAAATATTTCTTGTTTAATACCAAACATGTCTAAACTGGTTCAAGTTTCTATTATTTGCCTGAAAATTATGTTTTACTTTGCTTCCAATCGGTATCCCTATCATATATTTACTAGAGGAGCTCAAAAGATATAGACTTTTAAATATCCTCAAAGATGACAAAGAATATAAACTACCCTGTACTGACTGGTCCCACTATTGATTGAAATATAAGTTCTTGGATAACATCTGGAGGTTAGATGAGCATGGACAGAATTTATACTAATGTACAGTTTGTGATTCCCATTCTCTAACATGAATAAAACTTTCAAATGCGATAATACACCTCTGGGCTAGTCAAACAATTAACAGTCAAGGGTGTCTGCCAAGGATAAAAGGACAACCTATTATAACAAAGAATAAAACTATTATGACATTACTTCCACAAGCAACTGAGTAGCCTTTTCAATAACTAAGGTAAAATTAAGTCCCGTGGCATTTCTCTAAATAAATAAATAAATAAACCAACACAGCCTCTTTTCTCCCACTTGTCTACACCTTAATGAAAAGAGAAAGTGTACAAACCTTCTCTCTCTCTGTATCGCTCTGTGTGGCTGATGACTGTAAAGCAGAATTCTGAGCTATGAGAGACGCAGACTGTGACTGTAGTGTGGTGTTCTCTACTTGCAGACGTGCGTTCTCCCCCTGCAGCTTGGCATTGTGCTGAGACATGACTGTGTTCTGGTTGGATAGTGATGTCACCTGAGACTGGAGAGCACACACCTGATCCCGGTAACTGGCAGTCAGAGACTTGAGTTCAATAATTTCACTTTCAAGGTTTCCCTTCTGTAAGATAAAATAGCTTCAGTTTTTGAGGTTCATGTCAATATTACACATACAAGACAATTACTATACAGGATATTATTTTCCCCCTTTTCTTCATAAGGAGTCTTTTAGCATGGCAACACAAATTTATGATATTTTAAGTTTGTAATAAATACCCAAAATGTGATCATAAAATCTTAAGACGTTAAATTAGTCATAAATTCATTAAGAAAAAATCTGGGGAGATTTATTTCAACATATGGTGTGACTCGCTAACCTCCTCACTGGTGCGGTATAGAGCATCCCTGAGTTTGGCCACCTCCTTCGACACATCCTCACTTAAGCTTGCATCTTCCTCCTGGTATCGTTGTCTCAGGGACTCCAGCTCACTCTTCACCTGTAAATATTCAATGGATGCACCTTTCTTAACACTTACTACATGAGCAAAAGAATTTTAACCTAATATTACTTGTATTTAATAAAATACTGAGCTTTACCATATAATTTAACGAGTTTTTGTCCCTGCTGCCTCCCAACCTTACATCCCAGCTGCCATAAAATATCACCTGTACATATATCTTAGCCATTTTACCAATTCACAAAAGATGAACTGTGAATATTGATGATACACATACAGAAGCCAATACTGTATACTATGATTTATAATAAGATCCTGCTGGAGAACACGTGTCTCCAACTAATTCTTGGTCGAGAAATACCTCTTTGAAGATAAATAAAGCAAGTGAAAACAGGACTATCATCTTAATCCTCCAATTTGATACATATGGCTACATAACTACAGTATATTTGTTTTTGGCATTACATTCAAAACCCAAGGACCACACATGGATGCAACACTCACTGCATCCTTAGCTCTTTGAAAGGAAGAGATAATTTTGGGTACCATACATATAATTGTTATGGAAGCTCTTAATAAAAGCAAAAAAAGGAGGACTTTTTATGAAATAATATGATAAAGAATAAACATTAGAAATTCTAAGTTCAAAATCCTGTATGACAACATGCAACAGTAAACATCGTCCAATACTTCACTTTATTTAACATACTGTACAAACATTTTCCTCCCCATATTTTATGAATCTAAGGAATGTTCATCTCTGCTGACCAAACATATCTATTACCAGGCCTGTACATAAAAATGGCACAACAGATGAGGAGCACAACAAAGTGGGCAAGATATTCTTTTGTCTTTAAAGGGCATCATAACAGGCCAAAGAGCAATGAAGGCCAAGGCTGCTGAAAAACCCATTGCCAGTGATTTTCTTAGATCCCTAGTCTTTATATTACTTTAACATCCATTCCTCCATCTTATTAAATCTGCCTAATATCCAAAACATCCCAAGACCTCTATAACATGGATTTTAGATGACACTCCACCACAACAGTCATACACTACTGTACCGACCTCCATTAACTGTTTCCGAAGTTCCTTGTTTCTGCTGACAGATTCCGTGAGACGGGATTCAAGAGATACAATTTTCTCCTCACGAACTTCCACACTGCGCTTAAGTGTTTCCTCAAGCATCGACTCCAAAGCCTTGTACCGGCTGAGAACCGGAGAAAGACAAAAACTTGATATAGATATACAATGTTATCATTTCTTTGTACACATATAACAAACGGTCAATCAAGTTAATTCATACACAGTTCTTACAACCTCAGAATGCATCACAAACCAAGTGTCCCAGTCTCACTCTAGCTTCTAAAATGCCCCTGTTACTTAATGCCAAACTATCTCCAGATTATGTAGTACCTGTACTTCAAAAACATAAATAAATACAGTACAGTTGGTCCTCACATTAAGCGGTCCCGCAATCCGCATTTCACCGATACCGCGGTGCCTTGCCAGAACCTAACATTTTCACATTTCGCGGTCGCGAACGCCATTCCGCGGAGAGTGTCCGGCGCGACGCTATTTTTAGATTTGCCCCACGCGCCACCCGCCTGCCCGCCTCTCACTCCTCCTCCCTCCGCTTGGGCAAGCGGCGCGGTAAGGTTGCGCAGTGTGTCTTTGTTGCGTTATCACTGACGTCATATGACGTACAAGACCTTTGATTGGCCATGCATCCCTACCCTCCTCTGCTGCTAGCTGTAATTGGCTTAAAGTATTATGACGTGTCCACCCGGGGGAGGAGGGAGGAGAGACGACGCTTGACCTAGCCGCGACAGTCTCATCCCTCAAGGCCACTCCGTATTAACGCGCATCCATTGTTCCGTAAAATGGCTTCCGCCGGACCACCACCCCCAGAGAAAAACCTTTCCTTACCTGGACCCAGCGGCACTAAGCCAAAGAGGACACGACGTTCCTTAAGCTACGAGGTGAAGTACCAAATTATTCAAGATTTGGAGAAAGGAACACGGCAAGTTGATCTCGCGCGCCAGCATGGCGTCAACGAATCTACGATCCGGACTATAAAGAAGGATTCAGCCAAGATAAAGGAGCACATGAAGATCACAAAGTCTACAGGTGCTTCTATGATCAAGTATTTTCACAACCGGGTGCTTCTCAAGACAGAAAAATTACTTGTGAGGTACTTGGTGCGTCAGGCGCGACGCAACATGGCGGTCGACACGCGCTCTGTGAAGGACTACGCACGTGAACTGTACATGGCAGTGGCACGAAAGATGGGAACTTCAGAGCCCAAACCCTTTACTGCTTCCTCTGGGTGGTTACAGAGGTTTAAGATCCGGAACAAGATCACCAATATAAACATTGGTGGTGAAGAAGCGAGTGCTGATCGTGCTGCGGCTCGGGAATTTCCTCCGTTTTTACGTGAGATTATGGAGGAAGGACAGTACACCGACGACCAGGTGTTTAACATGGACGAATCTGGTCTTTTCTGGAGAAAACTACCTTCCAAGTCCTACATTGTGAAGAATGCCAGCAGGATTCGGGGCCGGAAAATGCAGAAGGAACGCATCACCGTCCTGTTTGCCACCAATGCCTCCGGTACCTGTAAGCTCAAGTTATCGGTGATCCACACAGCCCGCAAGCCGCACGCCTACAAAACCATGGACATGACCAAGCTAAATGTCCACTGGCTGACAGCACGTAAGGCATGGATGTTCTCTACACTGTCCCTCTCCTGGTTTGATGACTGTTTTGTTCCCGATGTAAAGAAATTCTGTGAGCAACAGAATGTCCCATTTAATATTTTGTTGCTGCTGGACAACGCACCAGGACACTCGCCCCTACTGTTAGATCGTCACCCCAACGTAAAAGTGGTCTTCCTTCCTCCCAACACTACGTCTATATTACAGCCCATGGACCAGGAGTTGATTTGCAATGTGAAAGCTGCATTCTCAACAAAAAAATTCCAGCTCCTGAACGACTACACCAACACCAGGGAAGAGTTGCGTGACCTGAGTGACACCACCACCGATAGCAAGAGCGACGAAGATGAGGAACAACGGTTAGAACAGCAAAAAATACTCTTCAAACAATTCTGGAGAATATTTAACATCAAGAAAGCTGTGGACATCTTGGTGGAGTCATGGGATCAGCTGTCTATTGCTACAATTCGTCACGCATGGAGACATGTGTTGCATGGAATACCAGGTGAGAGGAGGAGTCAATCTGTGACTGGTGAGGTTCAGAATGTTGCAGTAGCAGTGGACCTTGCCAGAGAAGCTGCGCAGACTGTTACAGTTCCAGGCTTCTCCGAGACCACCAACGACGACATCCTGGAGGTGATCAGAGATCCTGAAGTGACTGCCGACGAGATGATGGAAGAAGAACACGTCAGTGAAGAGGAGGAAGAAGGTGCGTCAGTCTCCGAAGAACACAGTTTAAGTCATAGTGATATTAAGTGTGCCATGGAGTTTGCAGAGAAAATTAAGTCCGTCCTTTCCCGCGACAATGACGATGACCGCTATGAAGTCTTCCATAACCGGCTGGTGCAGGCTATGGAGCCGTACATCACGGTGTATCACGACAACATCAACGCCAGCCGTCAGCAAAGCATAACAGATTTCTTCACCCGCAACCCACCACAGCCAGCCCAAGCCAGTGATAGTGACAGTGAAGTTGACTTTGAGGGATTTGTCAGGGAAGCCCTGACAACTGTAAGTGACAGTGATGATGATTCACCTAGTAATGGTGATTCACCTGAGGGCCAGTAATCTGCCCTCTGCCTCGGAACCAGCCTCCATCCCCGTATGCCGACCCATCTCTTCTACTACCGTAAGTGTTCCACAAAATTTTTAGTTTTTTAACCTATTCTTTATTTTTCCTATGTTAACCTTTATCTTTCCTAACCTAACCTCTTCTATATTACTTGTTTTTTCATACCATCATAAAGTTAAGATAAAATTTTTACTACAACATAGTTGCGTGTCGTCAAAAAGTGGAGTTTGGGGATCGGCCTGGACTCCATTTCAATTAATCCCATGTTATGTTATTCACTTTCCGCGTTCCTCACTTTCCGCGGGACCCTCTGGGTTACATTAACCGCGTAATGTGAGGACCAACTGTATAAATAATAAGACATTATGCACAAAAACATTGACTCGTTCTTACAATAAATTATTAAATACATGTACAGTACTGTGTATACTTTTTTCCTCACAAAAACTTATGACCTATAAAGCTATGTCAACTCAATTTCATTCAAGAACACTGACAGTTACGTAAAATCTACAGAATTATGAAAGTGTGAAAATAAAGCCAAAATACTTCAAGCTTAGAAACAGCATAAGTAAATAGAGCCAATAAGCTTCCAAGAGAAGCATACAGTAGGTATAACCACAAATCCACAGCCTGTAGTAACTGTACCTGTTTATTTTCTTTGTACTGCTCACTATTCTTGACATAAGTTTGCTGAAACCATAAATGATCATCATTACACCTACAGATCCAGGAGAAAACATGTCAATAATAAATGAAGACATGACTCTTGCCCCTTGAGGAGAAGGTATTGTGAACGGCGTACGAGTCAGTCAACAAAAACTCAAATCAGTCACTTGTACTTGCAAGAGGAGTTGGTAATCTAGGTAAAATGCTTCAAAGACTAATCAGGTAACCTAGAAATGAAAAAATATGCCTGCCTGCATCTAAGTTATACCTTTGCATGTGCAGTTATGGCAAAAATTTGGTTATTTATCAATTTTACAATTAATAAATTAAAGGACACTTCTTCCATAATCTGCTAAACTTTGTTCCAAGTAAATGACAATCTGGAAACTTAAATTCACTGCTCTTTTCACACTGTATTAGAAATCAAATCTAATAAATGAGATTCCACTAACCATTTAAACAAGACACACACACACACACATACATTGCAACACATGTATCTTGAGAATGTGATACAAGACGGGAACAATAACTTACTCGTTGTCACTGTCGGAGACGGGGGCAGTGAGGTTATCAGCATTGAGGCCAAGCTTAGATAAGTCTGAAGTTAGGCTGTCAAGTTGGTTGGTGAGTTGTTGTGTTCGCACCTACAGGGGAAATATTTTACACAGAATCCCTCACACATAGCCAAGCTATTCCAATACTTTGATGTACTAAAATTCCAGATTTATGGTAAACTCATTTTGTCATTTAATATCAATAAGGAGTACTTGCAGTGTAATTAACATTCTTACCATGAAATTTATACACAATACTTAACAAAAGACAGGCATGAAAGCTTTACATTATGTGAGGTTCAACATGATTCTCAACTGAAATGAAGCCTCACCTTCTCGGCAATTAAGTCCTCCCTTAAACAATTTAGAGTTTTACGTTCTGTCATCATGAGTTGGTCAGACTCTCTCTTCTCCTTTTCCAGCTCCCGGACTCTGTGGAAAGATAAAACGAGATACTTCATATTATTTTCTATGATACAGAGCCTTTAAGAATAATACTATACTGCACTATAATAATCAAAGACCCAAGCTAAGAACCAAGTGATCATTAAAATCCAGAAATCTTTAGAAAATATAATAAATCTATATAAAAAATCAACATGCACTTCAAAAAATATAGAGCAGTGCTAGAACATAGTAATGCCTCATCCTCATACCTGTTGTCAGTGCCCCTAAGTTGTTCCGCCTCTTTGTTGAGTCTCTTGACGTCCCGCTCAAGGGTTGATGACTTGCTGGCAGCGTCATCAATAAGACTATCCTTGACCTCCATGGCAGTGCGTAGTCTCGACACCTATGATCATGGTAAACAAAGACGAGAATGATTAAAGGTGAAAAGGGCATCGAGTGAACAAACTATAACAACACAACACTCAATACACGCCCAAACATACTGAAAATAGGACTAGTATGCCCTGTTACCACAATAATTACAATAGTCATCAATGGACACCAATAGCATATAGTTAACACTAAGTTCCTCTAACAGAAGTCTTGGTTAAATCACACTCCCCAGACACACACATGGAGGATATTCTTCATTGCTATGTCTAGAATTAGTAACCAACACCTAACTCTCAATAATTTCACAGCCCATCCAATGAGGTATATAATGTGTGTAAGCTTTATGTCTATCCAAAGAGCATTACAAGTTCTGTATATAAAAATCTCAGCTTTTACCTCTTTCTGAAGGGATTTATTTTCGCGGTCCAGTCGATCGTTGGTGCCTTCCATTTCGGTCAAATCTCTCTCTAGTTCGTTAAGCTTTTTGGTCGATAGCTTGAGTGTCTCCACGGTTCTTTGTAGCTGTAGAAAAATTCATAGTTTAATTTAGTGGAGCAAGAATCTACAAAATATTTGACTTGTAGATACATACTTTGAGTACCTAAAACAATACAGAGAACATTCACAAAATATTTACTTCACATTTACAGGCTGCAAGACTACCTGCTATACACCTAACCCATAATACAAGAAATAGATAATGCATAAGCTGAAATAATTCATAACTACAGGGTATTTAATTTGCACGAGCTATACCCGGTACTGTATACAGTCAGTCCTCGACTTACGACGGGGTTAGGGACCGACGACCAAGTCCTAAGTCGAAAATGCGAAAATAATACATAGAAAATCTAAAATGGGTGTCTCTTTTTCTTCTCAGCACCACGAGAACTCTCACTTTTACCCTTGCCAGCCATTTTAAAGGGAATTACAAACGAAAATTTTGTCAGTACACAGCGCGACCACTAACATCAGGACTCGAAAATACGTAATTTGAAAAATATTTTATACAACTGAGGCGGTCGTAAGTCGAGGAGTATATAGTGAACGGTGAACCATTAATTTAAGCAAGTTATATGATGTGAATTTTATGTAATTACCCACAGTTTTTAACTTAAAATTTGAAACACATTGACTCCCATTCAATAAAACATGCATTTTGGTTCATACAATTCCTAGAGAACTTCAGCCCCAGTAAAAAAAAAAATAAGAATATAACAGTTAGTGTCAGAGATCTAACCACCCACAGTATGGTAGTGTGTGTCAGAGGTCTCTAAATGTCCTGAATGACTGTACAGTACAGAAGTTTGGTACCGTGATTAATTTACCTCAACGACAACGAAAATTTGGAACTTAACTAAAGCAAGACACCTTCTGTAACTTAATGATGCAATTTACCAACATCAATGATAGTGAAAATTATTAAGTAAAGGCATTAGTACATGGACCCTGAAAATCTAAATGAGTGCAGTACCTAATTTTGTTATGTTATACTGTATTGTTAAAGGTAATTGCATTCATTATAATTATACAATACAGTAATTGATGCACTGAAAAACATTTATAGCTGTACAAGTACAGTATACATTCTGTAACCTCAAATTGTTCTACAGTATTTACTTGCCAAAAAATGAGCTTTTAATGAACAGAACTATTTTTGAGGCCCAAGAATATATCCCTATTTCTAATGTGAAGTAAAAGTTCAATTTCAGCAAAAGTAATATAGACAAGGTTATTCAGGAATAACAACAACTGCATATTCAAGGCCTTATTACAATTCATTATTTTCATTGCAACATGACAGAATACCTTTGAATTTTCATTTTCCAGCTCCGCTCTGTCCTTCTCTGTCTCTGCTAACTTCTTCTGGATGGTATCAATGGACCTGTTTTTCTTTTGTACTTCATTACTAGTGGTCAGGAGGTCAAGTTCCAGCTGTTCAGCTCTACTTCTCTCAGCTTTCAACGTTGTTAATTGTTTCTGCAGGAGATTAATCTGCTGAAGCTGTGACTCCTTCTCCGACTCCAAGTCTACCATACGAGCCGATGAAGTCTTGAGGCTGTCCATGGACCTATTAAGACGCTCTACTTCCACTTGCATCTGGAGCTTCTCACTCTGTACACTCTCCAGCTGTGTATGAATTAAATAAACACAATTTTTAATATATTTCTTAAAAGGTGAAAGTAAAGCTACAGACACAGAAATATAGCTACAGTCATCCCTTGGTTATAGCGCACTTGGTTATCGCGATTTTCATTATCACGCCTCCATCAAAATCTGCACACCTGCTGTTATAGCCCATTTTTCAAGTGGAGAATTTCGTTATCACGCAGTTGCCTCCAAGTGTTTTTACCCATTTGCTTCACCTACATTTATTGAGGATAAAATCTTTCACCTACAAATTGGCAATAACACATTTGCTGTAATCAGACATATCTGTTACCTCAACAATTGCAACCCCAGTTGCAATTTCAAATTCTGTGTCATTAATAAGGAATAACGAAGTCTCGGGTGTACTCTAAGATTGAGAGAAAACGGAGGACTCAGGCGTCCTGAAGCAATGAGAAAACGGACTCCTCAGACGGGGGACTCAAATAAAGAAAGCATAGCTACATGTTTTGTGGACTACAGTATTGAGTGTACCCTTTTCATCACTTTGTAATAAACCTAGCCATGCCTGTGTGTTTTTCTGATACTTACCATAACATTATCTATATATTTAGTGGGTCTAAATCAGTGGTGTCAAACTCAATACCTTTCGAGGGCCAATTCTTATTTTCGTTACCCTCTTCAGGGCCAACACAAGTGCTATATCACATATTTGCGGGATTGAAGTTTACAGCTTCACACATTGCCTTACCTGGCTTACCAGGAATACCTCATTTGGGTTTGTCTGATCTTAAGTATGTAAAATTCATTTTACTAAATAAACATGATTATATCCATTTCTTTCATAATTTCATGGGATGATAAATTTTACCGTCATCCCGTGGGCCACACCTGACCATCACAAGGGCCACATTTGGCCCGCGGGCCATGAGTTTGACACCCCTGGTCTAAATGGTTGTAAAATGGGAAAATTGGGGTTGGGTCTTGGGTGCCTGGAATCAATTAGAATAAATCCCATAGGTTCTGTACTTTCGTTATCGCATTTTTCGTTATCACGCACTCGGACCGGTCCCAATTAGGCGTGATAACCAAGGGGTGACTGTATAGTATTTAAATGTACATATTATTGCAATGAACGATGATCAGAGTTTATTCCTTCTGATTTTCAGGTTCCTGTTGATACACCATCCTAAAATATAGTAATCATTTGGGGTTCTCGAATAAAAAAAAATTACCCTGTACAGTACTAAAAGCATAAATCTCTGAACAGAAGATGATGACTCATATTCCACACACACATTAAACTTACCTTGTCAACCGTCTCCTTCATGTTGGCCAGCATCTTGGACACCCGGGAGAACTCCACCTCCAGGCTGGCATAGTCATGTTCCAAGGTCTCGTGCCGCTCACAACTCTCACGGAAGGCCCCAATTGCCTGTCATGGTCAATTTACTTGCAATTATTCTATTAGGTAATTAATTTCCTCTCCTTTTTTTCATATTAATGGATTGAGGTAACTTATTAGGATTTGTTTAAAAATGTCTCTCTAAAGACAAAAGTAATCTTTGTCTTCCTTTTGTTAAATTATGAGGTAATTTATTTTAAAAAGAATTATCTACAAATTTTCATCATATAGGACACTATTAATGTACCTTAAGTAGATCACGATTCTCCCGTTCTATTTCTGCCTTTTGGTGTTCAGCTTCTGATAGCTTGTCTGCAGATTCTCTCAGACGCTCTGTTAATCTGTTTAGCTGCTGTTTCTCGTACTCCAGCCTTGACACCTTGAATAATAAATAAGAATTAGTAGTTAACATTAGGAAGTTTTATTAAAATGATCTTCACAACAATGCAACATCAATTGGGCCATAAAAATGCATCAGGAACGGCTATGTTTTATTCCACTCACAATATAAAAGCTTTTCATCTACTGTATTGACTAATTTAAGCTTACTATATCCATCAATCAGTAACCTCAGAATTACCAAAAATATATAAAAGTAAGTTGTTACCTGACTCTGCAACTGGAAGTTAACATCTGTGAGTTGCTTGTTCTCCGTCTCAACGTCAAGAAGTCTAGTGTCCGTCGTCTTCTTTTGTCTCTCGCGTAGACTCTCGATCAATTCTAGAAGTTGAGTGTTTTCTTGCTGTTGGGATATACAGTACATTAACCTCATTATCAATTAAGCAAAAGAAAATTATTCCCTGAAAGAAGAAAAAAAGAAGAAGAAAGATGAAAAAAAGTGGGAAATAATCAATCATTATATTCTCATGTGTAACAAACTCTATCAGTATAAAATGGAATGGCAGCTTCCCAGAATAAGAACAAACAGGCCTACACCAAAGAATAATAACCATCCCAATCTCCATTCATTGTGACAATTGTAATTGGTAAGGATGAAAACAACCTGAAGTAATAAAATATGAAATACGGCAAAGAAATTTTATGTGTACCCCTCACCCCCAAACCCCTTTACTATGTACCTGTAGATGCTAATTTTAATATTTCATTTTGCGAAAGCTAGACGATTTTATTCAGCACAGAGGGGACCCAGTACACAAGAGGTCGAGGCCAATTATTGTCTAAGGTGGAAGGTTCTGCTATAATAAGATTCAGGACTAATCTTTCACTTTTAGTCATTAATCCTTAAAACATTTCAAAATTAAACAATGGTGGTGCCCCCTGCCCAAAAGTACCCCCTTATAACATTATCACCAGTGCATCACAACTTAAAAACACAGTACAGTATCAAATGGCATCTTCATCAATTACCTGGAGTTCATCTATCTGGCGTTGTGAATTAGTCTTAACAGTATTGATGGTTTGATGCAAGCGCTGAGTTTCTTGATGCCGTTGTTCCGACTCTTCCTGAGATTCTAGTAAATGTACCCGTTCCTTCTGACCGATTTCCTGTAACTGGTTCACCTGTAATTATGGACAAGTTTAAAATTTAATGGGAATACTGTACTGTATTTTACTATCATTGGGACTTCTTTAACGGTGTTCACCTAGTTAATGTACAACAAAGGTCAGTAGTCAGCACCCTCATCACAACAGTACAACTAACCTTAAGGGACAGCCTCTTATTCTCCTTTTCCAGCTCCAATAATTTATCAGTTGAAGCAAGGAGAGAGCCATGCTTCAACTGTTCATTTTCAGCTTCAAGTCTCTGATTTTCAAGCTGTAGTTTGAGAACCCTGGCCTGTGCATCACCAATGAGATCACTCCCCACACTTGAGCCATTCAGAGGTTGTTGGGACTTGAGCTGATCCAGCTTGGCAACCAATGTGGCAGACTCGCTGAGAGAATTTTTGGTGCTGAGTTGCAACTGGGCGTTCTCCTCCATAACTTCCTGAAGCCGTTCACGGTCAGAGTCGCGTTCCTGGGGAAAATAAAAATACTGTATTGAACAAAAGAACAAGAACAATTCTACAATATTCAGATCTAAGGAATTTCAGCACCCCAACTAGAACCCTGTACTATTACCATCACATCTGTTTTTTGTTTTGTTTTGTTTTACTATGCTGTACCAATATTAAGAGAACATGATCCATAAGATACTTTGACCTAAATAAAAGTTTTAAGCTAATTAATACTTAAGATTGACACTAACAATGGTGATTTGGTTTATGGTCTGCTTCAGCTGGAGAATGTTGTTTTCCAAGTCAAGTACTTGTTCCGCTCTTCTCCGTGATGAAGCCAGTTGTTCCTCCAACATCTCCTTAGTCTCCACCAAGATCCTGAAATTGTCCAACAGAATTCAGTCAGTCAAGCATTATATACTGTACTACAAACAGAATAATTTATGTACAGTAAACAGTAATATACTGAATGTGCATTTATCAGTGAAGTTTTATTCACTAATATCTATGTGACAATGGTATCAAACTCAAAACTTTTCGAGGGCCAATTCTTATTTTATTTAGTTACCTTTCAGGGCCAACACAAGTGCTATATCACATATTTATAGGATTGAAGTTTACAGCTTCACACATTGCCTTACCTGGCTTACCAGGAATACTGTACCTTATTTGGGTTTGTCTGATCTTAAGTATGTAAAATTCATTTTACTTAATAAACATGATTATACTTATTTCTATCATAATTTCACGGGATGATAAATTTTACCGTCATCCCGCGGGCCACATTTGGCCAGCGGGCCATGAGTTTGACACCCATGATCACTGATGTTCATTACATACATATTTGATACACTGATGATGATGAAAAGATGACTATGTACTCTTACTTGCATCCTTTTACTCATTTTTTGCCCTACATGTCATGACTCACCATCACAAAAATAAAACTGTGATGATTCCTGTTACATCATATTCAAATATTCATGTATTGTCTTTTTCTTAAACTCACCTGTTGTCTTCCCTCAGTTCCTCAACTCGTGTCTTATAAAATTCTATGTCGGCCATCTTGTCACGGTATCGAGCCACCTCCTGCTCAAGAGCATCCACACGGCTGGCACGTTCTCTGAGAATGTCCGCTTCGTCCCGCCACGCTCGTGCTGCCCTCGCATCTTGAACAAGCTCCACATTCTGCAAAATGGTACTCATAATAGATACAGTACAGCACCAGTGTTGTATTCAAAAGCCAATCCAGTATCTATTTCCCAAACTGTCTCAGAGTAATACAAATTATCTGCTGTACTATATCGCAAGAACAGTAATTATTCTCCACAGGTGTTGTCCTCTGCTCATTGTTGGTTTCAGTGGAATAACCGAGCTGCTCAGTCCAAGCGGCTTCTATCACGTCCACAAATGATGTAAAATTACACCATATATCAATGTAAGTTCTTTATTTAATATGCCTGTGGGTCCATGGGGCTAGGATGTTAGGCAAGGTTAAGTAGGTTTCATTGGTTAGGTTTGTGTGGTCTTCTAACAACGCTTCGGCTGCTTGGGTTTCTTATCGACTAAGGTTAGGTTAGATTTTATTTAGAAAGAAGGCCATTTTAACACATTTGCCCAAACTACGGGTGTCCACTGCAAAACAGTGAAATTATGGCACTTTTATTTTCTATGGAAAAATCGGCGATGGATATGTCGTCAATAATTACCCAAACTTGCTCTTTAAAAAAAAAAATCACAATACTGCTGGGTTTGAATTCGGTTATCGACCCACCGCTGATTTTTCATAGAAAATTAATTTTAAAATGCGGCAATTTCACTGTTCTATAGTGGACACTGTTGTAGTTATGGCAAATGTGTTAAAAGTGTTTGTTTAAAAGTTCATCTCAATCTAACATAACCTTAACCTACCTAACCATCTAATATTGACAATCTATACCACAAACATCAAAACATACACATTGACAGTATAGTCGTCAACATTAGCCAAATGTTAATATCTCCCTTATACGTAATTCGCACTAGAAATGCCACTGAGGAAAAGTGCTAGAATTGTCAAAGTTACTGATTGCAACTACAAAAGGTAGAATTATCGTTTCAGTCATGCACTTATTTTCCAAACGTCAGAATCGTTCAAAACCCAAAAAAAACATCAGAAAATCATAATTTCAACCTAACCTAAATTTAAAATCCTAAAATTTGCTGCATGACTGAAACAATAATACCACCTCACCTGGGAGAGGGGGGGGGGGGCTCCAGTCATTTGGTGTTCTGGGTGTACCACCATAGATTTTTGTTTTTCCTTTGGTATTAGGCGTGATTTATTCAAATTTGAATTTCATTTGTCGAAATTGAGTCATTTTGGAGTTATCATCCCCCCCTCCCCTAGAACCTGACCTAAATAACCAAAGAAGCCTACCTAACCTTACCTAACCTAACTTCCTAGCCGTCTCCATAATGATAAACAGAATGTGCTTACTCTGTACTTTGATATCTGGTACCCAGGGCCGGAAATAGGAGTGGGCAAAGTGGGCAGCTGCCAAGGGGCCTCCACATGTGCGGTAGTAGCTATATCAGGGCTGGTCGACTTGAAACCACATGAATGACTCCAGTCATGTCTCACTTGTGTGTGTGTGTGTGTGTGTGTGTGTTGGGAATTTGTACACTATCAATAAATAAATAGTTAATTAAAAAATTTTCAATGTTCTAATTTCCTCAATATAACTGCATATGGCTTCAAAATTCTCCAAAGTGTTCAAATTTCAAAATTTTCCAGGGGGCTTACAGCGCCCCCCCGGAACTCCCAAATGTTTAGGCTCACTTCACTCGCCACCCCACCCTCTTGGGTAGTTAATGAGGGGGGGGGGGGTCTCCACAATGAGGCTGTCCATGGGCCTCCACAGACCTAAATCCGGCACTGCTGGTACCGATGAAAGCAACTTTGCTGAAGCATCATTTTATGTTCTTGTGCTCGGCTGTAAATAAACAGACGACGCGCAGTCACTGCAGATTTACATCAATTTATTACGTGAATTTACTTTCTCGGTTAATATCCATTTACGAAGGTGGCAGTTTAAAATGTTGTTCCTATTAACAGGATAAAACTAATGGTAAACACGAAATTGCTCTAACCGAGTTATGACTGTAATACCCCCAACCTAATCTAAATTTGCTGCATGACCGAAAACGATAATAATACCCTATAAAATTCCCGAGATTCGTTTAGAGGCAACAAGTTAAATAATACCATTGTTTCCCGTGACACCTTTCCTGTCAATTGTATAACGTGTTCCTCCTGTGGTTGACAAAAATGTTTGCACTTCTCAATTCTTGTTATTCCAATACACTTTCCATCTCTTGTTGAAAATTAATTGATAACAAAATCTACTCGTTAACATATAAAGCTTAAGCTACAGTTACCTGAGCCAACGAAATTAGTTACAGCGACTTCCCCCACCTCAAACGACGGCGCCATATTGTGTCTCGTGTCAGCGACTTAGGTGATCCGGGGGTGTTAACTACCATTACACTTAATATTCAGCTATTCAAACATAAAAAATCTTTAACATATCGATAACTAGATATTGACAGATACATTCAGTCAAAACTAAAGGTATGAAACATCAGGGAATTAATGAAGCACCAGGTGGTCGTAGAACTCTCTAAAAGATTACCAAACCACCACTACGTCTTTTCAACCAATCACGGTATCACCCAGTCCTAACCCACTAACTCTCATTCGTCGCACCAATAAAAAGTAATAGACAGCATTATATTTTACTTACCCAAGTGGTAAGGAATAGTATTATTATACTGTAACACAATTTTCTTCCATTTTTTGTTGATGGCATTTAATGGAGGGGGTGGGAGGGGAGGTGTTGTGTGACCTATTTTTGACCATAGAATTAGTGTGCCATGCCGCAGTTCAGCCAGTCACGTTTGGTGCATTCTTACGTCTTCAGTTATGACTTACGAGGGACATTCACCGTACTACTATGAGCATCCTGTAAACTCACCTCCTGTCGTAACTTCCCCACCACCGTCTTGGTTTGTTCCAGCTCATCCTTGTACTCCGCCAAGCTCTCTGCCTTCTCTTCGCTGCAAGAAAATAAAAGAAATTTGAAACAACAATCTATTATACATAAAAAACACTCAAAGGCTTTCGACAGCGGGTAATAAAATAGTAATGTGTAGACAACAGATAGAATATTAACCAGGAGAACTTGCCTGAAATAAACAAGCATATTCACACAGTTGTACAAAAGAACCTGACAATCTGAGAAACCATCTGTGAGGTAACCAAACCAGACAGATGTTGTCTCACATTTCCAGTCGGGGATGAATTTATCGTACGAATATTTGACAATCCATCTTTGTCTGAGATAGATGGATACTCATATTTCCAGTAGAGGGAAAATATTAATCATAAGAACATTCGAGAATCGTTATGGCATAGCTTCACCGAGTCTTACTTCCAATTGAGAGAAAATTTAACATACAATGCTCGCCTTTGAGAATGTGATCACTGACTCCCCGAAGGCCAAGGATGGGAAGGAAGGCCTGAGAACCCTACACACGATTCTGCATAAGATTTACATAAAAAGGTATCATCCTTTGTTAATATATACAGCTATCACGGCGGCTGGGGGAGGCTATACAGTAGGTCGTTTGAGATGACTTACGTAAGGAAAGTTGATGTATAAGGTAATAAATACGCCAAGAGATTCAGAAATTGGATGGGATTGAAAGTCGAAGAAATAAATCGACAGGGAGTCAACAAATGTTAACGGATATCCGACCACAGCTAGTGACTGATTCCGACCACAGCTAGTGACTGATTCCGACCACAGCTAGTGACTGATATCCGATTTATCAAGATGGTATCCTTTCCATCTCACTGTGACAATGTTACTTGATTCCCGCTGTGGGTAGACTTGGCAATGTTTTAATAAGTTTGATTGTTAGTGTGGGTCCTCTGCCTGTCGCTCTTCGCCTCCCAAGCACACACAAACGAGTGACATTAACGTAGCCAGTATCCCGAACTGCGAAATTTAATACGTAAAAATTGATACAACAAAGATCCGATTGTATAATGAAAACATCTTTCATTGGTGATTATTATATGTGTAAAATTTCATTGAATTTACTAGTAATTGTAAAGTAGTTAAGCGTACGGACGAACATTTCTGAAGCGCGAGAAAACATAAACTGTACTGGGGATTATTATATGTTCGTTAGTCGGCCATAAATGTGCCTTATTGTCTATTATCATCTAACAAGTTTGGGGAAAGTAACTCCATTCTCAACAACAGAAGAAAGGAATTATTATTATTTACCAAGTCAAATGATAGTAGAGTGAACAGTTTCTTAATGTATTTATAAGATAGTAAAAAATAATAACTTACAAGATGAGGGATTTTAATTAAGAGTTGTTATTATTGATATAATTAAGAAGGTGTGACGTGACGTGAATAATACAACCTTTAGAGGCATTGCTACTATAAATTCTTACACTGCTCAGATTTTCATAAGATCGTAAGATATGATTTTATCTCCGCTTGTGGCCTGAGAATATACCTTGCTAGATTAAGCTACAACAGCAAAGTAGCGACCAAAGTGTAAAAATTATCCCAAATAAAGGGACTCGCTACGATCAAATATTTGAGAATACAACTTGTGTCGTGGCTCAAGAAAGATATAAAGTAGCACACTGTCACACGGAATATTGAACGTATGATTGTTTGAAAATACATCTGATGTTATAACTTATTGAGAGATATATTTTTAATACATATGTTGAAAAACTTTACATATTGGTGTTTGAGAATCCATGCGTCGGATCTTAAGTGATGCATACGGTTATAGTATCCTTAGAGAAAATTTAAAGTCGGTGTGCTTTAAGATTTTCAAGACCCAAATCAATGGTGACCTTCGTTTTGGTGGAGGTATCACGTGGTGGTGGTGGGGAGGTGCGTCCAGTGTGTCAGGTTCCTGCAACACAACACTTGTGGTCAAGTCTCGCGCCTTCTCAGTAGTTGCTTGCTGTTAATCACCAGGGCTGTGTAAGGTCACCACACCACGCCACACCTGTACCTCAAGCACACGCCTCCAGCAGGTCACCACGCCACACCTGTACCTCAAGCACACGCCTCCAGCAGGTCACTATGTTACACCTGTGCCTCATGCACACGCCTCCAGCAGGTCACCACGCCACACCTGTACCTCAAGCACACGCCTCCAGCAGGTCACCACGCCACACCTGTACCTCAAGCACACGCCTCCAGCAGGTCACCACGCCACACCTGTACTAACCAGAGAACCATTGGACAAAAGGCCAGCGCTGTATCCACTCGACAGCCCCCTCCCCAAACAATAGTAACATTACTCAGACAAAACAAAGACTCGACCCCTCTACCATGGGCCTCTTCATTCATCATTAAACGTTCGCTAAAGTAAGATGATCATGTTCGTATAGTTCTGTTGTTTGCATACGAGAGCAGATTAATGAAATCGTCGGAACCAGGTTTGTTTTATTGTCGAACCCGTTAATAATAATAATAATAATTTACTACTACAGCAGCAACAGCAAACACTACTACCACTGCTCTCTCTCTCTCTCTCTCTCTCTCTCTCTCTCTTCATGGTTTCAAGTTCATGAATCTGTTTCCAAAACTCAGTGGATTAAGCGTGGTAAGTTTCAATTTGTGGAGCGATAGTCAGACTTTATCCTCTACAAGGAGGAAGATAATCACTCCGTTATGCTGCCAGAGAGGAGAGGATGTGGAGAAGCCGCAGGAGGAGCTAGATCCAGGCAGGTGACAGCAGCATAGTACTTCTTGAACTGTCTCCTGCCTCCACCGCTGCCGCCAGACCACCAAGAAAACCATCCACAGAAATTAATATTTTCATTTAAGATTTTAGGCAGCCCCACGGCGGCAGATATCCAATTTCATTCGTATTCACCATAATGAACCAAGCTGTAGTTTTCGCTTTATTTTTTCCCGGTATTTACAAAGTTACGACCAAATAAACATGAAGACGCCTACAGAAAAAAATAAATGGTTGAGGTTACACACATACAAACAGCCTAGCCTGAATATAAACAATATGGCGAGGTGCCAGATGTTCCCTCACCCAGCGCCGCCAGACACTATTTCTTTAATCTCCAGAATGTGTCGTTTACTACTGAAAAGATCACGTAAAAATGCCCTTCGTTTTTCTTCGGAATTTACAAAAATAACTAAACGTATAACTTGTCTATCACCCACATTGTTTACTTTGAGTTTTAACAAAATATTACTACAGTGTACAGTACATTATAGGGCGTGAATGGGTACCTAACATTTCAATTGGGAGGTGGAGGCCGTGTTGCCTCTTGGCGTCTCCAGGGCTCAACACACTTCCCCACTCTTTTCCAAATGGGCAGATAAGCTTATGGGACCACTTTCATAAAATAGTGGCTTTACCTATCTTAAGGCCAAGGCGTGAACGAACACAAAATTTACCAACACATTTAATATGATTTACCATCGACTAAAAGTATTGATGGCGATGGTAACTTAATAATAAAAATTTCCCCTTTTCACCCGTCAATATAAACACAAAACCTCCTACCTCTGTCAACACGATTCTCGAGACAAAACAAATCGCCACTATATTCGCTGTCAGGCCGGAAACAGTTCAATGTATTCAGGCCAAGAAATAATAGAGAGAATTTCTTTAAAACATGGGATCCCTGAGCACCATAAAAGAAGGTGGAGGCGGTGCGAGAGTTTTGTGGAAAGGGTATTAATAAAAGAAACAGTCGCCCCCGGGAACTTCTATATCCGTTTTCCTTGTCGACGGAAAAGGCGCCACTTGTCTCGTAGCTTGAGAGAGAGAAGTAATATTCTCCACAATAATCGTTTCCCTCGGGGTCAATTTGTACCACTAATGGGACACAGCACCAGGTAATGTATCCGAATGTTAATTACTGAATGAATGGATCACCTGAAGATTTGCTCCCGGCTTAATTCACCTGGTAATTCACCCTCATCCAGGTTATCTCACCTCAAGATTAGTCACCCTAACGCTGATCTACCCCCCCCTCCAAGGTAGCGTTGGGGTAGCTACTCTTCAGGTGAAATAAATTGAAAGGGGGGGGGGGATGTTCAAATGATCCGAATGAGGTGAGGAGCCTGAATCAGTCCAGCCAAGACCCTGAACCCTGTGTGTGGAGTTTCAACATGATGGCAATTTTGACTTTCACCCTGAACGATGACCCTGGACTGAACTGGACTGGGCCGAGGTGGGCTGGGCTCTGCTGAAGTAGACTGGACTAGGCTGAGCTGGAGTGGACTGAGCCTGATTGGTTACAAGTTAACTGGGCCCCTGTCCAGGGGAGCTCCAAACAAACCAAACCACTAAGACTGGAGGTCATTAGAATTAAGTCGATAATTGGTTGATGAAGACAAATCCTCGACTCTCCCGCGCTAACCAGAAAGGTGTCAACATTTTACACTTCCAAACTTGACCTGAAAATTACTGATACGTGTTTTATTTTTATCAAACTGTACAACATGAAAAAAATATAAAATACCTGCTCGATTTACGTGACAATGACCTTGACAGCTGACCCTACAATCATTGAAGCACAATTTCTTTACCCCAGAAGCGAGGTATGTAGTACGTGACGTCATTTTTACTGGCACAAGTTATGGGTCGTACACAAACAATTCTAACTTTAGCAACAGTGACCTTGAACTTTGACCCAGAGAAACGATAATAAAATAGAAATCTCTCCTTTAGGGCAAACTATACCTGGGTAGTCTGTTCTCTGATGTATGGTGATTGGTGAGGCGTGTTATTGTTCGGAAATAAAAAAAGTATTGACAATAAAATAACATACAACACTGGATGGACACGATATGCCTTCAGCCAAAACTTGTCGAGATATAAACACGGGATTCTAGTTGAAAAATAATACGTGTTGTTGAGAAATTAATGTAAGAGGTACAGTACACACCCATCACTACCACTAGGGCTCCACCACAGTATACAATAACAGTGTAAGGGCGCCTCTACTACCACCACCACACCACCACGATAATAGTGTGGGG